CCAAATGACGAGAAGGGTACAGTTGAAAATTACTGATTTCCTGAAAGAATACCTCTTGGGCTACTGCTTCACACTCAGGTACGATTGTGCGAATCATTGTCTATTTACAATAACTTCTAATGTTGTAATAGTAGTGGTCTAACAAACTAGTCATCTATCTAAAAAAGAAATATTTGAAAATACGATTTATTTTGTTAGTTGGTAATGGATAAACTTAAAAAATTATAAATTAAAAATTTCTTTCCTCAATATAAAAGTGTATATATTTTTGTAGTACTCACGTTCGTGGGCAGGTCAGCGGAGGGAACAGGCTCGAACCACACCTTGAACGCTTGAGATGATTGAATTTTTCAGTAAATAAAATATAGTGGTTTAAAAAATTTGCATCTGTTGCCGCACATCGCCAGCATCTCAGGTTCAATCTTCGGACGAATAAGGTAAGAGAAATACTTTTGTCATACTTACTATCTTAAGTCTGATTTGGTAGGTTAGTGCTTATACTTTGTCTATATATTTCGAAATGATAAAGAAAATGTATCCTACATGTAATTTATGAGGTATGAGCTATTTTATGCTCAATTTTATCAAAATTTCTTTGTCCGTTGTTGAGTAAAAAGATGTACCTAAATCCTAAAAATGGTCGTGTATATTTCACAATGTACTGGGAATGTGATGGATGTTTTAGTAAATTAGATTCAGGACTTTACCGACTCTTATGAATGCAATTCCTAGTACAAATCCATTTGAATTTAATGTCACTTTAATATAACATGGTTTGGCTCTCAACCAAACCGTATTTATAATTTAAATTATAAGTAATTGTTATAATTAAAATAATTATAGTTAAAGAATTAAAATAACCTTTTCTTGTAGCTTTAGAAATAAAAAATCTATATGTAAATATTTATGTTTCCGCAAATCAGGCTACAAAATAATTAATTCATGGAACCGTAGAGTTGAATAGCAGTGTTTACGTGATAGGTAGCCAAGAGGCTTCCGAGGAGTCGTAATTGGTCCACTTGAATTAATTGAATGGGTGCCTAAACGTACTAATACACTTCATTACAATTTCTTCAAATAAAATTCTTAGAATCGTAAAATTTGAACTAAAGTGGAAGGCTTAGTTTTGTAAATACATCGATTGAAAGAAATATTTTTAGATCGTGGTCCTAATTATAATAATTACGACTTATGTTTTGGACTAATTCTTATGTACATTAAAAGCAAAATGAATATTCTTTTAATAAAAGTACTGCATCAGAATGAATCTTTAATTAGATTCGAACAGCAGGAACAGCGCATTACAAATTGATTTAAATTAATCACTCGCTATACAGTACTATTACAGTTTTTGAAAAGTACTGTTATTAAATTTATTTATCAAAATAGAAAATAACAACAAGAAATTGGCAAATATGGTGGATTTTCGGGCTAACTTTGTGTTTTATTTTCTGTAAACAATAATTCGTTTCGGCTGCAATAAAATCCTTACAAATATAAACTTAATTAATTTTTAGTGACAACTTATTTTGACCCTATTTATTTATAAAAAACCAGTTGAAAGTTATTGATATTTGGTGTTATTTCAAACACTTCACTATAGATGAAATCAAATCGAATTTAAACAGAGAGAATTGGCTTTTACGCACTACGCGGGCGGTGGTGGCGAAATGTTAATGATTGAAGGTGCAGCCGGGACCGGCGGCTTAACGTGCGTTACGGATCACAGTTAAGCTTGAAATAATAACTTTTTTAGCCCTTGTTATATTAGCTTAACTTCGGCATCGTAGATCTGACGCATTGACCAATGCGACGTCGTTTTGGTGTATGCGCCCTCTTAAATAAAGTAAATCATTTTAGTATCAGCCAGGTGGTTACCTGAGGAAGGTAGCAGCAAACGAGCGCCGTTGTGCAGTGGATAATAGAACGTATCTCGACTCGTCGACGACAAAGGCAACTCAAAATAACACGGCTCAAAGCGCTTGCGTGGTGCAAGTGAAGAGCGATCGATTCGTAATTAATGGATACCAGATCTATAATAAATGCATTATAAATAGTTCGAAACGTGTCAATATACACAATAAAAGTCATTTCGTGATTTCAGAAAAATATATAATAATTAAATTAATAAAAGAGACTCGACCAAGAACAAGTCAGACTGTAACCTCACAAGTAAGTAGGTGCTACATTTAAAAAAATCATACACCTTGCAGGTTTTCCTGCTATAGTCTATAAAATATTAAATTACTATTTGCATTTTCATTTTAAAGAATAGTTCTTTGTTTGAAACGTTAAACTGATCTTAATGCCTGAATGTTAAAAGCGAAAAAGCTTTAAATATCACGGAATCAAAAGGCGCTTAAACGGGGGATTCCGGAATCCTGCAAGGAGTCCTCCGGACCCAAACAAAAGTCGCTTGTAAGGCCTTGTTAATGTAATCTAAATATTTATCGTCACTCAGTTTAACACACATTTTACAGAGTTTTGGGTTGAAATATATCAATGTTTTAAATGTGTACACTATTTATTGTGCATTACACCGTGCGGTGGAAATAAGATGTAATCACGTGATTATTTAGTAGATAGCCGAGTGTGCCTGCCATAATACCTGTTGTAGTATGTATAGAGCATCCCTTATAAAAGAGACCAAATCAACAATAATAAGCCAATCAGATTAACGAATCGTGTGCAGCATAAACTGTTAGTTCTTGAAAATTAGATCTTTGTATGATTAGATTTTCTCAGTATTTGCCGAACATTTTGTTATTAGATCTTATTGAAGGTAATTCATTCCAATATTTTCAGCTTTGTATATTTTACTGTGGTTTGTTTACTAGGATTTCTTGTGATTTTTGTAGGCCTAATAAGTATTCGATTTGAAATGAAGAGTGATTGCATTTCAATAAAAAATTTGAATAGACTGAAAATTTTACAAACAGCCACACGAGTTTTTTTAATTTGTATATTAACTTATAACCACATTTAAATTTAATTAAATCATTGAGTCAACCAGGTTATAAAGTCTAAGTATTGGAATAGCGACACGAAATTATTAAATAAAAATCCATAGTTTCAGTAACTTATTTTATATGTTTTATACTTGAAAGTTCAATGTACAATTTTGGACTTAACTCTCTGGGTCTTAAAATTAAAATTGCATTAACTATTTTAACAATACTGCGAGTTAATTTCAAGAATATGAGAACATGGTTAACAGACTTTTATATCTATAGTCATTACATTTAATAATACATAATATTTAGATCAGTTATTAGATAAATAAAATAAGCAGAACTAGTTTTCATAATAATGATAAAAAAATGAAGAAACTTTTCAAATTTGCATATATTTAAGCTTATTTCATTTTAATATTATTTTTATATAAAAAATAACAAAACTGAATTGATTTAACAATAAACACTAATTTCTTGTGTTCTGATTTCTGTATTCTTGGATTCTGTCGCACATGCGCTATAAAATAAAGCAATTAAAATAAAACGCAGGATCTTTACACAGATAACAAAGCTATCTGCTGTATTTCTATAGTCTTTTTTAGCTTTTATTCAGGAAAATTTTATATTTTTATAGTACTCAAAATACGATGAGAAACAACAAGAAGAAAAACGAACACATACAATATTTTGTTTCTCTTTGATTATTACATATCAATAGTTTTTAATTATATACATATACATTCTTCTGTGATGTCGCTCTAACAATTGACAATTAACTTAATCTAAACATTTCGTATTTATAATACTGCACCACTTAAATATTAATTTATCTGAATTTAAAATTATTTTTAAACATAAAAAAAGACAAGAAGTAAAAAAAGATTTTTTTTTATTATTAATATTATTATGCATATATACACAATATTTTCAAGCTAATAATATTGCTTTAACATCATTTATTTATTATAAATAAATTTTCGCTAATATGTACCGATTTTTTTTCTACATTTATTACCTTTAACGTATACAACACAAGACATGAACGGTTTAATATTATAAAATGTATATTGTTATACAAACTTATGTATATTACATACAATATAAAGTTTGTCTCTAATCAAGTTGTCTCGTATTGTATGCGTTGATGGCATTAATAAATTTTTATATATAATTCAATATACATACAATTATCTATTATACGACCATCTAAGGTGATCACAAAAATAAGATTACATGTATTTAATATTTTCACTAAATTGACAATATTTTCGATACAATTAATGCGGTTGTAATATTTGTTTAGTTCGCACATACATATTTGGCATTTCACTAAATAATACAACTATTTGTGCATCGCTTTAAAATATTTCATCGTATTATAATATTTAGTCTAAGCGTAGCGCACTGTGCATAATTTGTATTATAACATTTATATTTACAATATGTATACATACTTTTTTAACGGATGGTACAAAATATGTTTACTAAATATTTAGTTTTCCTACTTAAATTTATATTTAGATCGATTCGAGGACTTTGTTCTCTTACAAACAAGGTTCATATTCCATTCTCGTTTATTAAATTGCATTGTATATAAATATGTGCAAACGACTAGAAGTGACATATTCAAATATTCTTCTTGTATACAAAAATCATTCTACTCCATCGTCATACATCATGCCACTAAAATTAATAAATTATCCATACAAATGAGGCTTCGAAGTAATAAGTAATAGAATTAAAGGTGTTTTAAAAATATTATACCTTCCGAAAACTTTTTCTTGATAAATGCTGTATTTTACGTGATTTACTTATGAAATAAAAATTATTCTGTTATAATTAATCGACAAATCTAATGTCACGTAAGCGATCATGGAAAAGAACTTCTGTTACATATAAACACAACAACCAGATCTAAAATTCAGATCACTTGTAATCACCATATAAGCTTGTTACCCCAATTCCTTTAGAGTCCACATTTGATTGTATTAAAATACACAGTCTAGTCTCATTTAACTCCTATTACAATTCCATTGTTCGGTGTGTTTAATGTTGGCAGGTTTTGCAACACTGCTCCTTATATGGGCGTAGTGCACACATGTTCATGGCGCGAACGTTCTCGCAAAACCTCGACGAGTCTCGGCACACACCGTCTGGGAACAAAAGGAATTAGCTAAAATGAATGATTTTTGCTCAGACAGCACCTTAAAAGAGGAGTCTAAGTAAGGATAACCTTTGAGTAGCGTACTAACGATAACCTCGGTGGCGTAGTGGATAAGCGCCTCGGCCCGCGATCGTTGTTGTTAAGCAACTCTTGCAAGGGTCGGTCACGGGATGGGTGAGCTACTCTGTACTTCGGAAGGTACGTTAAGCCGTTGGTCCCGGCTGCATTTGCAGTCGTTAATACTCTCCAATCCACATTGAGTCAGTGTGGAGGGTCATGGCTCATCCTCTTTAATCATCCATTAGGAAGGCCTGAACCCCTGCAGTGATATCGTAAAAGAGCTAATGATGATCATGAGGATAGATATCCACTAATCCGTACCCGGCCCGTGTATGTATCATAGTTCATTTTTTCTGTATTTGTTTCAACTGGGAAGGCTTTTACCTTAACAAAAGGGGCGACGATAGGTTGATGATGAATGGTAAATTTGCTGGTTCTCTACATTTAAATATTGCGAGTGACAATTAACTCGGTACTTTTTTGTGCAAATCTACAAAAAGCTTTTTAAAAATTATGTGCTTATAATGAGATACAGGCTCCAAATAAACAAAATCTGTAGTAACAAACTATTTTACAAGTCAAAAGGAATAATCGAGAAACATACAGGCATTCCGACTGATTTTCTATCAAATACCTTCTTGATTAAACAAAGGAAAACTCCCCTTTGCCATATAAAACGGTTTCTTCTAACCGTAGTTTGATATTTTGTTGTTCGGGGCAGATAGGTTTTGGCAATTCAATCCGTTGTTTATTTTTTTCCGTTAAAAACAGATACGCTTTCACAAAAAATGGCGAAACAATTTTCGCTATCATTGTGCCATTCGGAAGGATTTGTATTGTCACACATTTTATAGTAAAAAAATATTTTTATTGTTCTAAAAAAAGTTTAAGCTCGTGTTCAAGTTAAATACCAACATTATCTCTACATTTTTGTGAATAAAATTTAACGTTTAAAACGATTTTAGATTTTCACTATAAGATCACTCGGCTGTCTGTCGGTTCACCTGTGACAGATCAAATTAAAGGGATTATTGTTTAAAAAAAAATATGACAACAAAACAAATAGTTTTATAATCATCAAAGATAAATAAAGAAAGAAAATTTCCCGTCATAGTAATAGTCCCACGACAAACCTATTGGAACTACATGCACGCTTCTTTCGATCGAACTTTTAAATTTGTGAAGTAAGTTAGTGTGGCGACAGTGACCAGACGGACAACTTCCTATTGGCGGGATCTCCTGTAAGGTTGGGACAGAGTCTTTTATGAATATTAATTACAAATACTTAGGTGCTATAAGGAAATAAAAACAATTGGTATCCTATTCCCCCTTTTGTTTTGTAAAAAACGGTCATTTGTTGAAAGAATTCTCCCATTGTATGGACAATAGCCGGTTGTGAGCTTTAACGAGTTTAGTTAATCGGACAAGGCGAATTGAGTTTTTCCTTTTTTCAATTAAGCTCTACGATAGGACTTAATGTTGCAACTTTTACCTTTTTAAACACCTACCGACCTACCTAGCGACATACCCCGATTTTACTCGTTTTATTTATAGAATTCCAATAGTTTTCTTTTCCCATAATGTGCTATTATGCTTTAAGACTGTATTTTACCTACAAATAAGAGATAACGATGTATGTCATAGACTTTGAATCTGATATCTCAACATATTACAGTTAATGAGATAACTTTTTAAATAGATCCAATGGGTCCTACCATTATTTTCGACTTTCACAAAAGCTTTGTAAGAGCCTTAACTAAAAAAAAAATATCGCATAGAAACGATATTTAGAAAAGCTACTCTCATCACTTTGTGATCGTGTTTTCTAAACACAAACATAGGGGAAGGGGTTGTATAATATACACTTATTTGCTATAAGTATAGATTCTGTAATAAAATCGGCGATGGATTTGACGATGGGATACTCTACACTATGTCAGCGCTGCAAGGTTCAATTAAATAAGACCTACTTTAAAACAATGGAGTTAAACGCTGTATTTTTTACAGAACAGGCTAGATGACAACTTGTTTTTTTTATAAATAAATTGTCCATTAATATTTGAGAAATAATGTATAAGTAACAACCTGTCTGCGACTAGTAATTTCGGAGATATTGTGCTGTATTTGTGGAACTGCTGCTAGTCATCCGAAAATGCTCCCTACAAATTCAAGGCACTAAGTGACGTCAAACGATGCTAGGGTAGCGAAAAACGTATGGCCGTCTGAGCATTCTCTGTAATGTCTGTTATTTGTGCGTTTGTTTGTAGCTGTTAAAAAGTTTTATGTAACTAATTTAATGCCATATGTATTGTAGAAAAGTTTTGTAATATATTTTCGTTACTTTTTTCAAGTTTTTAATGTGCAATATTTTTCAAATTAGTGCCATAAAATTTATTTTTCAATATATTATGTAAAACATAATTCTTTCCCAGTTTATTTATTTTATCTTTATGAAACTTGCGATTTTCTAATCATGAATATTCACCCAAAATAATTCGAGAAAAAGTAACAAGTAGAGGAAACTCACTTTCACGAACCAGTGGCAACTTTCATTTATTGAATTGAAAATAATAATAAAGTATTTTCTCATCTCACAGAATAATATCATATGTGCTAGTTAGTTACAGTTGTTCGAATTGAGTTTCTGGTGTAAGACTGATGCCTAAGTAAGATAATCAGAACATTACCTATATTACAGGTCATCCGGCTTTCACTACTGTCTAAAGAATAAACTAGTAAACATAAACTACGCAATTGTCTCAAAAACTTAATTATTACTTCGTCTTGGAATTCCAGTGAGAGAAAATTTCGTTGATATAAAATGGGTATGCCTCGGTGTTTGGACAAAGCTAATTGGTAACTTAATGAGGCTTGTAACAGAGTAAGGAGCTTTTGTTATAGATTAGATACCTATTAAATGAATTCAACTGTAAAAATAAAATTAATTTTCTATTTAACAAATGTTACAGAAAATTGTCCAATAATTAGATTGCTCTCGAATTTATGTTTGTATGTATTTAGGAAAGATTTTATAATATAAATATTATATATTATTAAAAATTCATATTCATCAAGAAAAAATCGGATATAATAAATTACTTTGTATTTTAAATTTTCATTATTTGACAATAATATCACCGAGGAAGTTGTCTGAAGATGTTTAAATTGTCACAAAACTTTTAAAAAACGATACACGTCATTCTCATCTCAATGTATTAATAAAGAAATGAATTTTAATGTGTAATTTTTTTTCTAATACTGGGTCGAGACACAGTTTGCATATGCTATTGAATTTTGGTCGCTAATTGTACAGTGATTACATTTCTGTTGAAGTAAGAAGAAGAAGAATGAAAAATAAATATCAATTTAATACAATTAATTTTTAAATCTATCATTAAAACTCATACATTAAGGTTCAAAATCAAGGGAATCGTATGTCGCGCACCGGCTTCAGCTGTTAAGTAATCGATTTTCGTTAGTATTTTAGCGATCTGTGACAGCTCGGTAAGTGGGTATTTGCGGTTAGAGACTGCATTCACTCTTTAAAAAAATAGTACGATTTATTAATTCGAAAACTATGTGCTATGATCAAATCAACTATGACTCAAATCAATAAAATATGGAACTTCAGAAAGATCTCTAATCGGTCGAAAGAGTGCGCTGGTTTGAAAGAGGTTCTTATCAGTTATGATTTTGGTGGAACTGTATGTTTTCCATCTTGCGGGATCTTAGCATTTACCGGATCTCATGTATAATATTAATTTACTTGATATAATATAAAAAAATATTCACAAGTTACATCATAATTCGTTAATTTGAGGGTTCACTGACAAAGTTATGTATTTCTGTTGCCGCTATAATAACAAAAACTAATAATACAGAATAAAATAAATATTAAAGGGACTCCCATACGACAAACGTGATTTCTTTGTTCATTTTTTGGACGATATCGGTAACTACAACAGGTACGGTATAAGGTTACAGTCACCTCTGGTTGTACAGGTGTGTACTGCGCACGCCCTGCTGACGGCGGGCCGGCGCATGCCCTCGCAGGCGCTGGCGGGCGCGTGGTGGCACCTATATATAGTTACAGTCACCTCTGGTTGTACAGGCGTGTACTGCGCACGCCCTGCTGACGGCGGGCCGGCGCATGCCCTCGCAGGCGCTGGCGGGCGCGTGGTGGCACCTATATATAGTTACAGTCACCTCTGGTTGTACAGGCGTGTACTGCGCACGCCCTGCTGACGGCGGGCCGGCGCATGCCCTCGCAGGCGCTGGCGGGCGCGTGGTGGCACCTATATATAGTTACAGTCACCTCTGGTTGTACAGGCGTGTACTGCGCACGCCCTGCTGACGGCGGGCCGGCGCATGCCCTCGCAGGCGCTGGCGGGCGCGTGGTGGCACCTATATATAGTTACAGTCACCTCTGGTTGTACAGGCGTGTACTGCGCACGCCCTGCTGACGGCGGGCCGGCGCATGCCCTCGCAGGCGCTGGCGGGCGCGTGGTGGCACCTATATATAGTTACAGTCACCTCTGGTTGTACAGGCGTGTACTGCGCACGCCCTGCTGACGGCGGGCCGGCGCATGCCCTCGCAGGCGCTGGCGGGCGCGTGGTGGCACCTATATATAGTTACAGTCACCTCTGGTTGTACAGGCGTGTACTGCGCACGCCCTGCTGACGGCGGGCCGGCGCATGCCCTCGCAGGCGCTGGCGGGCGCGTGGTGGCACCTATATATAGTTACAGTCACCTCTGGTTGTACAGGCGTGTACTGCGCACGCCCTGCTGACGGCGGGCCGGCGCATGCCCTCGCAGGCGCTGGCGGGCGCGTGGTGGCACCTATATATAGTTACAGTCACCTCTGGTTGTACAGGCGTGTACTGCGCACGCCCTGCTGACGGCGGGCCGGCGCATGCCCTCGCAGGCGCTGGCGGGCGCGTGGTGGCACCTATATATAGTTACAGTCACCTCTGGTTGTACAGGCGTGTACTGCGCACGCCCTGCTGACGGCGGGCCGGCGCATGCCCTCGCAGGCGCTGGCGGGCGCGTGGTGGCACCTATATATAGTTACAGTCACCTCTGGTTGTACAGGCGTGTACTGCGCACGCCCTGCTGACGGCGGGCCGGCGCATGCCCTCGCAGGCGCTGGCGGGCGCGTGGTGGCACCTATATATAGTTACAGTCACCTCTGGTTGTACAGGCGTGTACTGCGCACGCCCTGCTGACGGCGGGCCGGCGCATGCCCTCGCAGGCGCTGGCGGGCGCGTGGTGGCACCTATATATAGTTACAGTCACCTCTGGTTGTACAGGCGTGTACTGCGCACGCCCTGCTGACGGCGGGCCGGCGCATGCCCTCGCAGGCGCTGGCGGGCGCGTGGTGGCACCTATATATAGTTACAGTCACCTCTGGTTGTACAGGCGTGTACTGCGCACGCCCTGCTGACGGCGGGCCGGCGCATGCCCTCGCAGGCGCTGGCGGGCGCGTGGTGGCACCTATATATAGTTACAGTCACCTCTGGTTGTACAGGCGTGTACTGCGCACGCCCTGCTGACGGCGGGCCGGCGCATGCCCTCGCAGGCGCTGGCGGGCGCGTGGTGGCACCTATATATAGTTACAGTCACCTCTGGTTGTACAGGCGTGTACTGCGCACGCCCTGCTGACGGCGGGCCGGCGCATGCCCTCGCAGGCGCTGGCGGGCGCGTGGTGGCACCTATATATAGTTACAGTCACCTCTGGTTGTACAGGCGTGTACTGCGCACGCCCTGCTGACGGCGGGCCGGCGCATGCCCTCGCAGGCGCTGGCGGGCGCGTGGTGGCACCTATATATAGTTACAGTCACCTCTGGTTGTACAGGCGTGTACTGCGCACGCCCTGCTGACGGCGGGCCGGCGCATGCCCTCGCAGGCGCTGGCGGGCGCGTGGTGGCACCTATATATAGTTACAGTCACCTCTGGTTGTACAGGCGTGTACTGCGCACGCCCTGCTGACGGCGGGCCGGCGCATGCCCTCGCAGGCGCTGGCGGGCGCGTGGTGGCACCTATATATAGTTACAGTCACCTCTGGTTGTACAGGCGTGTACTGCGCACGCCCTGCTGACGGCGGGCCGGCGCATGCCCTCGCAGGCGCTGGCGGGCGCGTGGTGGCACCTATATATAGTTACAGTCACCTCTGGTTGTACAGGCGTGTACTGCGCACGCCCTGCTGACGGCGGGCCGGCGCATGCCCTCGCAGGCGGCGCCGGCGCCGGCCTGGCGGGCTCGGTGCGCGCGCGCGCCCCCCGCCGCCCACACGCAGCGCAGCAGGCGGTGCTGCCGGCCCCGGCCGCCGCACTGGCCCACGCACTGGTAGAGAGCGTTTACACGAGGTCAGTAACTGGCGTAAGTGCTGACAGTGCACTGATGACCCGGGATCGGTCATTAGTCAATAGTCGTGATAAAATCTTGAGGATCAAATTGCAACGGGCCGACACTGACTAGTTTATAATTCGGCGGTGAGCACTGTCTTCGTGGAAACTCGATTTCCGATACCACACATCGAGAAAGTATTGCAGTGTAAATATGGAATATTACGTAAAGCTCGGCGCAGAGGGTAGCACTAGCGCATATAGCATTATGCTATGGCACGTGTAATCTTAGTAAATAACTGTATGGAAACGTATCAAATTAAAACTTATTATTATCCATATATAAAAATACTATCACAGAATAGTAGTCATGCAGCCGTTAACAATACTCGAAAACTACCGTTTTAAATGAAATTCTCTGATTTAGAATAATTTAAATGTGATTTAGATTTTTTTCTAACTAGAAAATAAAGAAGTAGTAAACGCAATGCGGTTCCAAATCAAATCAAATCAAAATCGTTCGTTCTGTCTAGGCTGTGCTTGTAAAAGCCTAGACTGAACAATTGTGAAAGTCGGAACTCTATGCCTAATTATCGGTTCGTAAATCTACGGTGGGAGACCTTGTTCCGCTTCCTTTAGTTAATGAAATATTTGCCTTAGGAAATAAATGATCTCCTTCATTCTATATCTTAAAATTGATATTGGATAAAAATGCACTCTTTACAGTAATTAATTAAAACAATAATATTATGACTTCGAATGATGTTTAACGTTTTTAAACACTGTTTACTACTTGTTTATACTCATACGGCAGCAGAAAGTATACATGCCATTAAATAAGAACTTTCATATTAAAACAAACTTTAGGAATGGTGTTTTATTAAATAACATACCCTACTCCAAGCGCCGACAGTCCAACTCGGCTTGCAGCGAGTCTCTTCTCGCCTGATCTTCTCCGGTCGAGAGCTGGAATCACAGGAGCCGTCAGACAACACGGTTCCGTTCTCGCTGGTGCATTCCACTCGACGTCTAGATACAGCTGTTGAGGTAAGTCCTTGATAGCTTTTATCATACACTATTTGACATCCATGGTGGTGGCGCCATCTCCCAGGTTAATTGTAAAAAATAACTATATCATATATTATCACGGGTTTGTATAATCCATGTTTATTTGAAATAATGTTTTCAGCTATTGAAACCCCATTATAATATCTATGTTAATGAATTGGTATATGAATGATTACCCACCTGCTCCACTGGCGAGACATCGGACCGGCGACCACGGGGCAGTGCGCCAGGTGGCGCACTCGCCGGTGTGGCACTCGCGCAATACAGACGGAGGCTTGGCACCCCTACTGATGCACTCTTCTGTCTCCACTGTAGTGGTGGAGTTGTGTGTTTTGTGCTGTTACCACAACAATTGAAGAATCACAACACTGTTCACAAGTAGATGATAGACGTTCAACTTTAGAGTTCACAGTTGTGATGCCTGTTGCTTCATTTTGAGTGTATAATGGTAATTGTATTCAGATGCCATTTTTTTTTTAACTATAAACAATAATAAATATCCACCAATGTACATTATGTCCTATTGGTGGATTATTGCACATTAAGGGTATGTTCCGATATACACTGCGAGCACTGCGCAGTGGTCTTACTGCTGAAAAATTCGTTCCGTTATGGACTGCCAGTACACTGCTACAGTACCCTAGGGAAATTTATGACGTCATAAATTGCCGCCATATTTGTACTGTGAGCACTGGAGATTTCGAGGTAAGGTGCTCGCAGTGCTTTTGATCACGTGATCAGTCGAAACAGAATCAGAAAATGATAAGTTTCTAAATAAACAAAAAAAAAATACTTACGTTTGTTATAAGATGGATTTAATTGATAAATAATGTTTTTATACACAATTTTATAATATTTTCTTTTGAAAAGAGGGAATCTTTATTTATATTCACTTTGCATTAACAAATTTGAAAATGGCGCCAAAAAATAGGATTAACAGTATACTGGACTGCGTTCCGTTTTAAAAAGTCACCAGTATAACTAGCTATAAAGGAACGGGCTTCCAGTATACTAAATTGACGTCATACTGTTCAGTGGTCGCAGTGTATATCGGAACATACCCTGATTCTATGTGATTTGACGTGTATCTTTGTGGGTATAACTATAATTATCCATGAATTACATAGAGATTTTTTTTTACATTTTGATGAGATTCAAGATGAATGGCTTTACATATTAAATTTAAATTGTATTATTAGCATAATATTATTATGTTAATATGCCGATGCTAGACTAATTTATTTAGATTGAGAAACGCTAGATTATTTATGTATTCGTAAATCTCCTATCAAAATTAGAGAAATAAGAAATGTAAGTGCTCGCTTGTTAATGAATTAACATTGTCAGTATCTGATTGCCCCTGTCGATTTATGTTTCCAATTTGTGGGTAGTGTTTGATTCCCATCCGTTTCGTAGACGGGCCGAGGCGTGTCCAAACAACACCGTGTACCTCATCTCCATAACACAGGCCGGCCTGGTTTACAAACGGTATTGCGTTTGTGACGCTCACTAACGTACCGGGGTACACGAAAATTGTTCGGGCTTTGTTTCCAATACTCAAATTGCCAGTTTACGGTATTACCTGCACTGGCTCCTGTGAATCAAGCTTCACTTAATTTTCGTTTTTAACTATAATAGCTATATATTTTATTCATAAATAAGAACTATACTGAACTCGATCGAACGAATTACCGACGTAATACTCAAGAGGAGTTACTTATATTGAAACGAGTTTGTTCTTATGCCTTAATTTTCTAATTAACTCTAAAAAAAGTCGACAAATATTACGAAGGAATAGAAAGTATGTAATCTTTAGGCAGTGTGCTAACTTTAATGATTTTACCTGACAGACAGCCCCTCGGACTTCATGGCCGACTTGACCACATGGCGCGTTGCACGGAGACCATTCTGTCGTCATCCAGACGTATTCATTAGCGTCAGGTGCTTCATGAAACCTAAAGAAAAATACTTATGGAGAAAGAAACGACAAATTGGGCGATGATAGATAGTAGACAATTTATTTTTTATTATTCAATATTCTGATATTGTTTTTTTATATTCTCATTGATTTAGTATCGCCTGCTATTTTTAATTTCTATTACTTTTTTTAACTAAAGTTCTGCAACTAAATTTAAATACTTCCGTATAAGTTTATTCGTTTAAATGATTATATGTATTATAAAGATAAAGACTAGATTATATGCAATTGTAAGCAGGACAATTAATATATGCTTACCTGACTGTAGTTGTCGATTCAATGTCATCTAATTCTTTTAAATTTTGTACAGTATTCTGTTCAATGCTATTTCTGTTGTAATCTTCGTTAACTATAATTATATCGGAATCGTCATCTTCTGGAAACACTATCTGTTTATCTTCTAAGTTCACTATGTGTGATGGTACGCCATAATTCTGGTACGTTATTATGGGGTCAGCCATCCTTTGTCCCCTCGAGTTACCTAGAGTCTGAAAATTCCAAAACGTCTGAACATATCAATAACGAGAGTTCAATATTTAGATTTCATTGGTAAAAAAATTGAGAACCTAAATGAAAACATTTATAATATGAATAATGACATCCGTGAGAATTCATATCCAGTACACATTAAAGTGTTTTAAAACATGCCGTTAATAATACCAAACTAATTGTTAAGTATGTGATGACAGTCAGTATTAAGTAATGCCGTATACTGTTGCAAGAAAAAAACACCATTTCTAAACATACACCAATACATTAACAGACCATTGTGATAGAGAACCATCAAAATCATAAATCTTTTAGTATTAAAATATTAGTATTAAATAAAAATATCCCACGTGACAATGATGCTATTGAAGACACCCCTAAAATAGATGCAAATTAAGAAACCGAAGAAAATAAAAAAAGTGAAGATAACCCCGGCAATCTCTATTTTGGTAACTCCTCACCTGAATTTGTATGATTAAGTAATGAAGGCAGGGTATCAGCCTTGTTGCGCTGCTGCGCTTTGGAGGAAGCATCTGTGAGGATACAGCAGTCTCCTTAGTTCCCAAGCGGCGTGCGAAGATTTTAAGTTCAATAATGGGCAGTTTTTATAAGGTTGTTTATATAGTCTTGGATGTATCAAAAAATATAGTGACGTTTTGGAAGCTCCAAATTTATTTATGTTTTATATTCCCCTTCATTTTAAAGTGATACAAGACCGAAGTTATTTCTCTTCTCAGTATTACTGATAAAAAAGCTACCGACTACTTTGGATATAGTTTATTCATATCATCAAATAGATAAAAAAAAATAATAAGCAATTCTTATTACAAAGTATCAGCAAGCAATTTTTGTGTTATTAGTATGCAATTTTAAATGTTTCTTTTTTATTTAAAGATTCGAGTGATTAGGTTATTAAAAGCACATTATGCTTTTTCGAGTAAAGTTTCAAAAAAACAGTTTATAAAAGTAATTCATCCGTGTAATTAGGCAAAGTTTAATTTGATACCGTTGACCGTGCTCATCTTTAATGACTTTGATGTAATAGTGATTACAGACAACGTTGGTGCTGGAGTTCAATTGTAAAATGGCTGCCGTAAACTTTACGATCAATTTTACGACACCCATAAAAGTGTTATAGCAATAAAATTTACTTTACGTTATTTGTGTTACATTACATTAGATCTAATTTCAACAGAGGATTCCGAATTTTCTTCTTCTGTTATGTACATTTCAGATTTGTAATTGTTTTTGGTAAGTATTTAGTCAGTAGGTATTCAATTATCTTGATGATCTTAGCTTCGTCTTATTTATCACAGATTAAAGTAAATTTAATGTAAGTCACGTCAAAAAGAAATATTACATTTTTTTTACTTTTTTAATATTTCAACAACAATGTAAATTTACAGTTGAGTGCTATAACAATCACATAACTTTATAAGCTATCAAAATAGGTAATAGAGCCATAAATGTTATACATTTTTGTGCTTCACTTTGTTACAGCCATTTATTTCTCAATTTAAATATTAATACTTAAAATTGCTACATTGTGTGAAAATTAGCAATTGTTCTTTTGATCATAATGATGATAATGCTTTTATATTTGATTCAGAAGTTTTAATGTCTAATTTATTTGATTAGTGCTACCGAAAAGACAAAATTTACGATTCATTAACATGATTTTTAATGGTATATTTCTTTGCTTCAACTCTGGAAATCTATGTTTGATATTTTTATTTGATTGCATTTATGTCAATTTAGTTTACCTTTAAAGTATTGATAGAAAATTAATTTTAAAGCTAAGCTTTCTATGAAAGTTATTCAATTTTAAACGGTCCTAAGAAGTCATGCATGTGTTATAATTTGATGCTCCTAAAAATTAGCTAGTAAACCATATAAAGTCAACCTTATCTCACGCTACATATGTCTGATGGTTTTACTAATTTCTTCATATAAATTGGTATCATCAGTTGAATCTATTATATTTTATAGTTCAGCTTTCAGAGAAGTAAAAATAAGAATAATAAGAATTACCTCGTTCTCGTCGTATATGTCTCTTGCTTGGGAATTAAAACTTGGAGATGCTTTAGTGCTGGTTGTAGCTGTATTCCCGTACAAAGCGTCCCGAACTTTGTCTATTTTACCTGTTGATCAAAAATTTTAATTTTATTCTTTTTTGTTAAGTGTAACTTGTCTCAGGTACTGACTGAATCAAACTTTAACTTTATTACTTTCGTTGTAAAAAGGTTTTTATCGATGGCGAGGAAATGAAGCATTTTTTTTCTATCTTACACAAAGACTTCATTAATCACCAGACAGTATTTACAGTACCAAGACACAGAAATATCTTTGATTCTAAAGGAGTCCGTAATTTATAGAAATATAAAACAGCATTTCTATTATTAATAATAAAATTCTGATTGATCATTATCACTAATCTATTAGTGTTCCCGTGGCCGGAACAGGCTAGAAATAAAGTCGAATAGGCTGCATAAGTCATAACTAACCAACCACGCGGTTGAAATGCTAAATGCTATGGATTGGTATTATTGTGTCTTCTGAACCAAAGAGATAATAACATTTTGGTTAAGTTACTTTTACTTTAACTTTGGGTCAATTTTAAATTTATGATGCTAAAATTAATATTTGGCTTATAAATAAAACTTCTAAGGCCCGCCCGGAGGCCCGCCGCGCCTATGTAATATTTTTTCCTTAAGTAAACATTTCTAGTTACCAGAAGACAAAAGAACAAAAATATTTAACATTGTTCTACGTTGAAACAGAATTCGCCTACGACAACGCTGGATTAAGTGTAAGTTAACTCTGAAAGCTGCTCAAGTCATCTAAAGCGCAGATTAATATACACCGCACCAGCCCTGAGTGGTCTGAGCGCTGTGTAAACACTCGTCACACCAAATAAAGTTGCCCGCTATAATTTTTAATAAGATTTTATGTGGGAATCACTTTAAGCATTTTGTAATAAAAATCTTGATCCTATGTTTCTTTGTTTTTTTTTTTTTCATTGCCGAGTAGCCATTCGGTAGGTATTCACTCGCATGCCTGTGTCAAGGTGTCGCGGGTTCGATTCGCGGTCGGGTTAATATAGAAAATAAACTTTTCTATATTGTGCCGGGTTTGGGCGGTGTGCTACCTTCGTTATTTCAGATACTTGATAATCTAAGTGCTTTAGCTACTCATCACGGAAAGAATAGACATAAATTCTTACTTTTCTCAGTTATTAAGAAAAATAGCTCTTAAGAAAATGTTGACAATTAAATCCAACTATTTATTTTAAAGATGGAAAGTGCTTTCAGCATTATTTTAGCATTTGTTTCTAAGGTTTTGTTTCGAACAAAATTATTACTAAAATATAGCAATGTCTCCATGATCGTGGTATGTCGTGACAAAAAGAAGGCTATACGGACGCCGCATTCTTTAAATATTTAATTAATTTGAAATTAATATACAAATCAAATAATTTATTGGCCATATAACTCAGAAGGTTACACACGGCAAGTCTTTTACAATAAGCATATTAAATTAAAAATAAAGGTTTAAATCATGCAGGTCAAATCATTGTAAGTAGGAATGTCAAATAAATTAATTATCTTAACAATGTCAAAATGGTTATTTTTCCGATCCTTAATAATCAATTATATCACAGTCAATTACAATTAAATTACAACATCACAAATTAGATTATACAAACATAGATTATATATAATTTTATGTCATAAAATATTGATGATTATTATATCTTGTCATCTAACATAGAGATCTAGTCAATTTCGTATCTCACCCATCTTTATGTAGGAATGAATATTCATCCAAACGCATAGACATAAATTCATTTAAAGAGTATAAGGGATGCTGAATAAAAAAAAATTGATTGTTCTTTCGAATTCGTCGTCATTCATGTTTTTGATACTGAGGGGAAGTTTATTATACATTATAATTTTATTATATATGCCTTGTTTTTGTACCTTTGCCAATCTTGTTTTAGGCAAACACAATCTTTCCTTATTACGTAAATTATAGCTATGGATGTCCATCTTTCTCAAATGTGAATCCCGATCATGGTGTATTTCTAATAAATATTTATAAATGTATAAAGAAATAATTGTCATTATTTTATTTTGTTTAAAATAAGGTTTGGCTGACGTACGCTTGCGCAAACCATTTATAATTCGTAATGACCTTTTTTGGCATTTTAGTACACGATTTATATCAGAAGCATTTCCCCAGACTGTCACCGCATAACTTAATAGGGAGTGCACATAAGCATAATACACTGTCATTAATGTTTTTTTATTGGTTACGAGCTTCAGTTTTTGTAGTGCGTAGTTTGCACTGGCTAGTTTTTTGCATAGCTTGTTTATATGATAAGAGTGGCTCATAGTATGGTCTAAGGTATAACCTAGAAAAGTATTATTTGTAACAAGTACGTTCTCAGATAGCCGTTTTCTAACCTGATAATGCATTATTGTACTTTTATTAGCATTCAGTAATATGCCATTAGCCTCAAACCATTTCTTCAAAATATCCACAGCTATCTCAATTTTTTGCTCGAGTTTATTTTGCGACTTGTCCTTTATTCCGAGATGAGTATCATCAGCAAATAAGCTGGTGAATGCCCACTCAGGAACCGAGTTTACTAAGTCATTTATATATATTAAAAATAGCACTGGTCCTAAAATCGAGCCTTGTGGCACCCCTATATCAATGTCTTTTAAATCTGAAGATACACCATTTACTACAACAACTTGCTTTCTTTTTGATAAATAAGATTTCATCATATTCTAACACAAAACAATTATTCTGACGATGAAGTCTTGAAATAGTACTTATTCCAATTTTACTGGTCAGAATTATCTCAATACCGGACTCAAAATCCGTTTATTCATTAATGATTCTAATATGAATTGCTTTCATAAGAAGTTTAATAAATTTCGTATTCTTTCTAATATTTTAAACC